TTGATACTGGGGGTTGCCCTGACCCTTGCAGTCAGCCTGTTGAACCTTGTGAGTCAGTACAATGGATTCGGAACATAAACTGCTAAACGGGTCGGCCAAAATGTGTGCATTGCACAAGAAGCCAAAGTGTACTTTTAGAGGTGAACTATGTGTTAGTTTTGGTCCAAACAGGCTGGCTCTCTCGGGTACCTTTGTAAAAAGTATTACTTCATAATGTTGCAATAATTTAGGTAAAACAAACATAGTTTAGCTGTTTAAGATCATTCTATGAAAGAAACGCTTTGTGAGGAAATTCTGGGACAGCCCAGTACTGCCTGCAGTAATGTCCCCAGCATCATACATAGTGGAAGCAGGCTTACAGGCAAGCAAGTCTTAGAAATTACGTTTCTTCTGACTGGAATTTTCTGTTTGCTCACTGTTCTGTAGATGAAAATACATCCTGCTGTCTTGCAGAACACGGTCAAAGGCATTCATTAAATGGGCAACTAAAACAATTCCAGGTTATTGTTTTGATTCCCTTGCACGTGTTCAGCCATATTCACAAGAACTTTGGCAAGGGATTTTGCACATAATGTTATTTTAAATCTGTTGTTGATGCACTTTTTTTTTAACTAAGTCAGGATTTATTTTCTTATTGCCTATTAAGTGTCCTGTTATTCCTCTGTAGGTGAGAAACCTCTGCTACATGGTAAGCAGGAGAGAGAAACTGAAGTTGTCTCACAGTAAAGTACACGAACAGGTCTTCAATTTGCAAGTCCAGCTTATTAATCAGGAAATTGCTGCAGGTAATCACATAAATATAAAATATTTGCAAATTCTACCTGTGTTTAAACTAAAAAAAAAGGAAGAAAAAAGGTGTTCCCTTTATGTTCCTGCTTAGTGTTTTTCACATTGTAAATCTGCCTTTAAAACTTTCTTCAAGTACACAGTCAGTGAAAGTAGTAACGTACAGGAAACACTTTAATCTCTTAAAATATTTACTTGGATATTTCTTTATTTTATGGCTGTTGCTGGTATATGTCTATTACTTGTCAATCACTGTGACACTCAGACAGCAGAAATGAGCTGGTGGCGATCTCTTGGGTTTCACTTCCTTGGCTGCTGCTGTTGGGTGCTGTTTCCCACTGCCAGCTCTGCGCTGCTGCTTGGTTCTCCAGCTGAGCAGGTTTTTCGTTTGCTGTCAGTAGTCGGTTCCTTCAGGCAGAAGAGTGACTGGTGGGAAGGGCTGCTGTTCTCCTGTTGCCTTGCATGAACGGCCCAGAGGGGCATTTCTTAGCCTACCATCTGCCTCTTTCAAAAAAGATTTTAAGTACTCTGGTGTTTAACAGTGAATAGTAACCGCTTAGGAATGCTGATGTGCCAAAACCTACCCTGTCTGCCCTTCATTTTTACAGCAACTGTCTTGAAATAAGGAATGCAGCATTCGGAAGGAGGAAGAGTATATGTTACAGTGCAATTATTTTTTTTTAATAGGGAAGGCAGCTACTTGTTCAGTGGGAAATTAAGATCTCTGTTCTTTCAAGATATATATCCTTATGTTTTTCATGACCAATTTGGATTGAAGTCTTCGTGGTTTTTTTTTCCCTCTACCCTAATGAAACATAAGTAGGTTTCATTAGTAGTGACAAGGTGGCTTGTTTAAAACTGGTTTAGATCAGAACAGTGCTTTGTGGAAGCAGCAGGACTCTAAAAGCACTTCGGTTTTGTGTAAATGCATTTTATTAGAAATGTCTCCTAAATTTGTCTTCAGAAATACAAGTGCTTTTTTAATGCTTATTAGAATAGCTTGATAGCTACTTTGCAGTGGTGCTGCATGCATGTATAATCATAAAGACTGATACATTGGGGTGAAAAGACTTCTAAAGCATAGAGAATTTTATAATACAAAGCAGAGATTTGAACTAAGTCCAAATTGAAACTCAGTTTGAAGCATTGGGGTTTTTTTCTCCATCCAAAACTGAATATGAACCTGTTTTATAGCTTTGGAACTACTTCAGTCATCACTCAGAACTGGTTCGACTCCCTGGCTTAAAGCCCCGTAAAAAGGGCATGTTGTTGCTGTTGATGGAAATGCTAAAATGCTTACCCAAATTCTGAAAACGGTGGATAATTTGGAACAGTTTTCTTTATCCCAGCTTCTCTTCAATGTCCTAAAATAATTTCACACTAATTGTTTGCAAATGCTTCTTAATGTTGAATGACCACCTGATGGACTAGAAAACTTGTTACAGATAACAAGACAACTGCCCTCTTGTTTTAAAAGCCTTTTTCTCTCCTGCCCCCTTGTCTCTTTCTCCTGTAGGCCATGCCCTGACAAGTGCACTAGAGAACACGCTGTTCTACCCACCTCCCAGGATCACCCTGAAGTTAAAAATGCCCAAATCAGCACTAGGAGACTGCAGGAATAACTCGCTGAAGCCTGGCAACAGACCGCTTTCTCCCGACAACAACAGCACTGTTTACAGCAAACGGAGCGTGCCAATGTCAAAGGAATCGTTCGAAATTAAAGCAAAATCTTACTCCAGGTATCAGCACGACAGCAGAAGTAACGGGTTGCTGGCAGGGATTGGCAAGCCTCGGAGCGAGGCAAAGGATTCTGGCCCCATGCAGATGCCGGAGTTTCACCGGGGCCAGCCATCCGGGAAGCCCTTGGCGCTCCAGGCTGCTTTGCATGGACAGTCTTCCATTGGGAATGGGCGGGTGCAGCAGGAGAACTCGAGGCTGGTGGCCAAGTCCAATGGTCTGATGGGCAGGGCTGGAGACGTGGGCCAGAGAGACAGCTCCAGCCAGACGCCCTATGAACAAGAGTCCGTGCTCACAGCTCACCTGGCCAGCCAGAGCGGTTTTAGAAAATCCACCATAGAACATTTTAGCCGGTCCTTTAAAGAGGCTACCAACAGCCTGGTGAGGACCACGGAAGATCTCCGGTGCTGTGAGAAGCCAACGAGAAGACTTGCCACGAAAGATCGCTTGTGGAGCAAGCAGACGCTTGAAGGTGCTCCGTACCAGGACAACGACGGGTACTGCCCGGACTTAGAGCTGAGCGACTCTGAAGCAGAAAGTGATGAAAACAAAGAGCAAGTGAGGTTAAGACGAAGTAGCTCAGAGAGGGAAAGCCCAAGTAAGGACTTTGGAAGAGATTGTCACAATAGAAACAAAAAGAATATGATTTCTCACAGTTCGGTACAAAGGTGATTAGAAGCCCCCACGGGGTAACTCGGCCTTTCTGTATTCCAGTGTACCAGTGCAAAGCTCGCCATGGGAAGGTTCCAGAAAATGGTCCAGGACCTACATTAGGAAGAGTTGCAGTCGGGGATGGGGGGAGGGGAGAGAAATCAGAGTAGTTTTGTTCAACTGTGAATCAGCTTGCAGCCTTCGCAGGGTTAACTGCGCTGTTGCAGAGGCACGTGGAGATCGATGTGCTTTGTTAGAGGGTGACACCTGGGAGAGCACCAAGCGGTTAATCTCTGCATCACTTCAGGAACCTGCTTCCCTCCTTGCCGGCTTACCTGCCAGGCAGCAGCAGTCTCGGGGTGGTGAGCAGGCATCGAAGAAGTCCTTGCAGTGCTCTAAAGCATTGCAGGGGCCTGCAGATGGAGACACTGAAACTGCGTTCTTACGGCACCTGCAGTACGGCTTCGATCCAGCAGCGCGCTTGCGGATGTCTTGGGGAGCGAAGCCTGTGAAAAGTCCTGATGGTTTCCCCCAGGAAAGTTTGCGCTCGGGTCTCCGAGCGCAGGCCCGATGTGCTCTGCTGGATCAGGCCCAAAGTGACTACTAAGTGACGATCCCCTTCCGCAGGAGGCTGGGAACTGCGGCAGCCGTTTGCAGGCTCCTTGCGGAGGGTGGAAGCAGGCGTCGCTGGCGCTGCCCGACTCGCTGACCTCTAGACGTGCCCCCGTTCCCTGCTCTCGCTGAAGGTGGTGTTACTCCTCACAAGAATTTGCTTACTTTGTAAATAGACAACTTCTAGTACTTCAGCTTTTTTTAATCTCTGTACATAGTTGCTTGTTGTGGGATGCACTTGTAAATATTTTACCCAGCTAACAAGTACAGATGGCTAATTTTGTGGATAGTGTTTACAAAAGTAGATGTACTACTTCAAAGAAAAATGCTATTTGATGCTTAAATTTAGGCAATCACCGGTGATGCCAGGTTGCTCTTGAAGCTGAGATTTCGTGTCCAGAGGTGTTTGTACCTGGTATTTTTAAAATAAGCTGATTTAGAAATGATTTTGTCTGAACTTCTTAGGCAGGCTCAAATTTTCAACCCTAGTTGCCTCAATACAGACGTAGGAGCCTTCCTTCTGGCACCTAGGTCTGTGAAATTTTAGCCCGTCATCGTTTGGAATATGGTGTTCCGGTTTTTTTTTTTAATTGGTGGAAATCTAATATTTTAATAAGCTGCTTTTCAACCTCTGGATCAGTTGCTGTTTCCCAAACTCAACACTTTTTTGTAGGTCTTAAAATTAGCAGTTGTTAAGTAGTGATGGAATGTCAGCCACTACGGAGGAAGCAAGAAGGGAAGAGAATCCCTTTCCTGTTCGTTTCAGTGACAGGGGAGTTTTGGTGGAAAGCAAATGGCTGCGTGTTTCCCAGATGGCGTTGTGTTGATCCGCAGTGTAGCTGCACTCTTCTCTGAAACACTGTACGTTTCACAAACATGCAACCTCCTCTGTCCCCACGTCCCCAGCTGAAGCGCCCACGGGCTGTGCAGGGCACGTCATGCGGTTCCTTCCTGTCAGGGGTTCGTTTTGGCCACAAAGAAAAGGTGTTCCCCACCCGGCGTGAGGATGAATATGCAGAATCCAACCGACCACCTGTTTCTCTTCATGATCTGAATTTACTGCTTTTAGCTTGGGAAACGGCAGCGACACTTTTAGATTTGTTTTGAACTTCGACATCTCCCTAGTTGCAATAGGACTAGCAGGTCAGGGGCTGGGGGACTTTTCCAGTAGTGAAATTTAAAAAAAAAAAATTGGCAATTCTGCTCTGTTTGCTTCACGCATCTTAATTATTTTGGGGTTTTTTTTCACTTCCTGATTTTCTGTATATTTGTGTAATTGATCTTTCTCGAGCTGTATCTTCAAAACGCTTTCTTTTGATGTAAATATGCAGTAGCATTTTTAGGTTTCCATATATTTTATTTTAATGGGAAATGCCTTGTGTTCTAAGCCATGGGTCATTCAGAATAAGTAAACAAATGCCTGTTCATTTGTATCCCAGTTCTGATTCTCTTAGTTCTCCTTCGATATTTATTAGTAATCCTCTCTGGCTGGTCATGGAATTTTATGAAGCTTGTATTGGGAACGCTTCTCCGGGAGGTCAGCAAAGCGTTCGTGTTGTTTTGTGGCCAGAAGCCTGTGACAGAAGGGAGGGAAAATGGTGCTTCAGCAAAACTCGGCGTTTCTGCTCTTCTGGGGTTAATAATTCAGTTGTTTCCAGTCTGGGCAATGGTTTTGCTACTTTTTACATGATTTTAATAGATATATGAAGGAGCCCTTGGTTATGTAGTTCTCAAGTATTGTCCCCAAAGTGCATTTGCTAGTTTTTATTGTGTGTTCGGTGGCTAACTGTTTGAAGTATTACCTCTTAACCTTATTTGTCAGATTTCTTTTTTTTTTTTTTGT